AAATCTAATGTGGCCTTATCACACTTGCTATTCACCTCGACCCCCTCTCTTTCGATCGGCTGATCCGACTTGGATCTCCAATCCAGATCCCCTCATTGTCTCGTAGATCCGTTCCTTATCTTTCTGGTTGACCGATTTCACTCAAGTCCAGTCCCAGTCTTCATTTCACTCCAGGCGCTATTTATCAATGCCCTAGAAGCACGTACACTGCTGCTTCACTAAGTGGAGCGCCTAAGCTCTGATTGCCATGCTTGCAGATATTAGCCCTTTCCTACAATGGTCCTCTCCTTGGTTAAACCCATGTTATCTGAGCAAACTGTGGACGCCTATCTCTGGTCGCATGAGGTATCTCAAGTTTACTGGCTGTGTACATATTTTACCTCTAATGGGAAACGCGAGGTTTGGCTATGAGATCGTGTTTGCCACCAATTTTAGCAAATAATTACATGGTTCAATTTGAGGAACGCATAATTCATGAGGCACTTTTAGTCCATAAATTATTAGTTTGCTATATAGACGACTACTTTGCAACATGACAAAGAAAACCTGGAAAATTTTCTTGGCTTGACCAATAGGATCGGTGGGAAAACGAAATTCATCATCGAGTTAGAAAAGAAAGGTGGCTTACCTTTTCTTGATGTCCTAGTTGGCAAAAAGGAGACCAGACTTGATATGGATATGTATAAGAAACCCACAAATGCAGGTTTCTTTTTGAACTTCTTTTCCACCCATACTTGTGGGGCTAAAGTAAGCGTTATGAAGTCTATGATAATAAGGAGCCTGCAATTGGCAGATATTAAGAATCGGGACCAGGAATGAAGAAGACTAAGGGGAATTCTGGTCGAGCATAATTATCCACGAAGAATGGTTGACAAATATTTTAGAATTTCGTCTAATAGGATAGAGGAAAATCCGTATTTGGGGCTAAATAAAAGGTTAGACCACTCTGCCAGAATAGTTATGCTGCCATCTTGTCGCCTGTCGAAGACAAGCGAATTACTGAGAAGGTGGAACATCAGTACCATTTATAAAGAGAAAACAGCAATTTCCCCAGTATTGCCTTCTTTTTGAAAATACTCTGACCCTCTCCTCAAGTCGAGCTGCGAAAAAGTTTGTGTTCATGCGATAGGGTCCATGTGGGAGAGACCTATAGGCCCATATATAAGAGGTTATCTGTGCACAAAGCAGCCTGCAAAAGTCTGTGGGTCAAAAACTCGGAATTGGCTGAACACATGGCTTGCACAGGATACCAGAAAGATTCGTCGAATGCCAAACGCGTACCTGGATATGGGGACTGAAACAGCAAGCGATATAAATCAACACAACACTCAACACCCTGATTAGAAGAAATTAGTCAAGGAACTTAAGTGGAAACTGCTTGTGGCTGTTGGATAGGATTAGAGGGGGGACGTAAAGTACCACCGAACAACAGGAGGCTTGATTAGGCTCGAATCTGGTCTTACCTTTGACATCACATTCCTTTCAAGAGCAATGTAGTCACGCAAGACGTGTTCAATGGAACGCAATCGCATGATGCAACATAGAAGAATCAAAAGCATGTGTTCTAGGGGAAGATAAAGCTGTTCGCTCACAATTGAACCCGTTTCATGCTTCATCTGCAACCACTTCATATGCTATCTGCAGCCACTTAACTTAACTTATGATTAAACATATAGGCAAGGCATAAGACATCCAACAAAAACATGAGATGCCTAAGTGGACGAGATTTGACTATAAGAAGAAAGTAGGTTTGAAGCCAGCCATCTTCCTTACCTTCGTATTTTTGGTGAATTATCGTCCTGTTATGACGATGCCTGTCACATGACAAATGAAAGATCAGCAAGGATTCATCGGGGTCGCAGGGCGGTGCGCCACTGACCTATTCCCACAAATCTGCAATCAAAGCTGAAAGGCAATCTCCTACAGCTTCCGGTGGAGCCAACTCACGAATCGCTTCCTCTTGCCTCTTCAAACGAAATGAAAGGTACTCCAACACCAATCTATTAAGGGGTTCTTCGAGACCCAGTTTTTCTACATGCATACGATTCAAGAGGGGACCAGAGCACCCGACTTACACACCTGTTGAAAGTATGTGAGTTAGAGGTCTAAGTGGAACCAGCAGCATTCCGTCAAAAACTCATGATTATTGAGATACTAGTTGTTGGATAGATAATTCAAAATGGGCAGCTCATAGCAAACATTGCCTTGATGTTAGTGTCTAACAACATATACAACCAAGAAGTAATAAGAACCATATAAGCATATAAAAACTCGCATATTTAATAAAAACTTATTTTGAGTAAGAGTTTGGCTATAGGGTCATTATCAGTTTTGGGATCGCATATAATTAATTTTTAATGAAGAATTACTCATACAACTATATCCAGAGTTGCTAGGGGCACAACTTCGCTGCTCATTTTGGCAAATGATAGCATGGTAAAAATAGAAGAACAATATATAAAAAGAAGGCTGATAGTTCCGACGTTATTATTAGTTATAGTTTATATTATTTGCCATTTGTTAATATGTCATATTTACTTTATATAATTAATTATCATCATTTAATCAGATAAAACTAAAAGTTATTCGAGGCAGTGTCAAGCTAAGCAGAAATGTGCATACAGAATCAAAAATGCTGATTGTAAGTATATTTTTCGCCTCATCCAAGTCCACAAGTGCAGAATTTATATAATCGAATCAGTAAGAAGCTTTTGGTGTAGATAAGTTATCTTATAAATTTCAGTTAAAAAATTGGTATTAGTTCTAAGTGAGTGTCTATCGGTGGGATATTAAATTTAAGGGAGCATTTGACCTGCGAATTAGTAGGAGACATAGTAGAATGCACCTAGTTCGAAGTCATCTGTCATAGTAGTTGTCATAATTCCCAGCGTCAGACAGTGGACTTAGTACATTCTCACAACTAGAGTAATGTTTGA